ATCATTAAATTATAGTCATGTTTGTGCTTTGAAATTGCCTTGGTGGAAGTCCAAGAAGTATTTTCTTGCTCTTCCAGATTTCCATGTACTTTAATATCAATCTATTTTCATCAATGTGACCTCCCCCGGCAGAAAAACTTCTTTTTGTGGTTAGTCATGTAATGACTTCAGAAGAAAGGACATAAAAACTAAACTAAATTTATCTGAGACTTAAAGTCATTCTAAGAAAAATAAAGTATTTTTATTAGCAAATGAAATGCCACCAGCTTTTGACAAATATCAGTGGGCATTTTGTCACGAGGCTGAATATTCATTTAAAATTGTGGTAGCAAAACTTACTTTTGCAACRTAGAAAAATGCTTTTATTTGAAGTACTTTAACTCAAAATTTAAAGTTGGTGTCAGATATTAGAAAGTTTTTGTGCTTGGACTTTGTGGTAATTTCAGAGTAAGCAACTGGTTACTTGTTGCCTTGGAGAAAAAGACTTTTTACATAGGCTTTATATCACAAATTGCAACTTCCCAAATGTAAAGAATTAAAGAACTAATTTTTTAATAATAATAAGTTCAAAGYGACACAGACCATCCTACTGTAAGTTCTCAGATTTTTGAATTTTTATTCTGCTAACGAGACTTTTTTTAAGTGCAGGTGAAAGGATATTTCATTGAAGAGAATGACTGCTATTGGTTGCATTTTTTAGAATAGTCAATAATGTTTTGCTGTTTTTCTCTCAAAATTGTTTGTAATCAAAGCCATTTTACTATTGCTTAAATGGAAGGGCCACCTTTTGCCCAGAACAGCTGTGTAGTTACATTAGCTTCTATAAATAAGTGCATTATTAAAGTTATAAAGCAATCTGTTTACCTCTATTAAAGTAAATACATAGCTTAAAACATAACGAGGAAAACAAAAGGGCAAATGAAAAAASCCCTGGAAGAACATAATGTGCTTTTTTTTTTTAAAAAAAAAAAATGTTCCTATTTAATATTTTCATCAAACACAATTTCTTTGTGGGTTTGTGGTCTGAAGAAAGCTGGGAGGAAGGGAAACATTATTTCACTGTTCAGCTGACTAAAATCTAATTTCTTGTTTAGAATACTGATTCTCCCTTTTTATACTTTGATGTTTTTGGAGGCAGCTAGATCGGACAGGGGAAAACTATGAGAAGAGGCTATGTCATTTTCTTTAGAATGTGAAAACTTCTATTAACTGTGTGGAGAGAATAAAAGCATTTGCATGCACTCTGCCCTCCTCAGGAAACACACGCTGGTTAGGCACAGGTTTCAGTACCACGTATGCTGAAAATGTAGTTTGAGAGCTTTAATTTGCCTTCATCTGTCCATGTTAATGGACCGAGCAAGTGCTGGAGCTGCTGTAAAACAAATCTGTTTTTCTTTAGTCTGCTGTGCTAGATAATGAAATAAAAGCTAAATTATCRCTGATAAAAGTAATTTGCAGAAAAGCAATGATAAAAAATATAACAACAGAGCTTGCCATTAGCAATTTAAATGGGTAATGTTTGCTAGTGCTTGTAACCTACTTCTGTCCTCTGTTTTTTGTTGTCTTCTCCCCCTCCCCATGCTGACAGGGGCCTTTTTGGTATAGGTCTAGACCAGTAAAATTAAGATATTACCAGTTCCGAGGGGTAACTAGTACCTGGTTGCTCTTTTTCTGTACTATAATATTGCAGAGTTAAAGCATGTAGGTAGTTTTAAGTGTTGTATCAGTATAATTTTATCCATCTCAGCCTAAGGAGCGTCTCTGCTAGTGACGACAACTGAGAGAATATTTTATCTCCCTGCAGCAGCGGTAACTCTTGTAAACTTTCACGAGTTATATGATGTTTACTTTAAAAGCTCAGCTTCTTGGGTTCATGTATTTAGGTTGAACCGTTGCTTTTCTGTCTCTCCGTGTAGAGCTGGCTTGCTGATCAGTGCATTCGTAGTTTGTCACAAGTATTTTATTTAAGGACGTTCAGCTGGGAGTGACTAAATAGGGAACAACTCCTGAACTCGTAACTGCGGGACGCAGAAGTTGTCTCTGCAGCCGGAGCGCTGCCGTGCAGTGCTTGCCAGATTGAAAATGTCAAGGACAGTTACCCTGGCGCATTCCTAACCGGTTTGCTCCCGACCATCCTTCGGAAAAGCTGCCCTGTCTCCGGCTCTCCTTCTCTAGCTGTTGCCGCCAGGGATTATTTTGCAGTACTGCAGCTTTGGGAAGCTGAGGCCTTTTTGATCCAGGCAATCTAGAAAAGCACATGAAGTTGCTCTCCTTGCCCTCAAATACAAGACCCTAGAGGGGCAGGCTTGTGTGCTGTTGTGTTACAGAGCTKCATGCAAAGCTACTAGGATTGTGATATTTTGTTCTGTGCAAATCTCTTGGTTTCCCTGAGTGCTGCAGAATATCACACACAAAAATTTTCAAGAGTACTTTATTGAGGAAAAAAATAAATAAATGAGTTAATCTTATAAAYGACGTGACCCCATGTTTTTCTGAAATGCTTTACTGCCTGTTTTGTCTGAATATTGCTGTTGTAAATTTATAACATTATAATATTTTGAGCTTTATTTCTGTGTGATCTCTGCTTCTTCTGTATTCTATATGTCATACATTGCGGCCTCTGCAATTTAGAATTGTTTAGTTAAAAAATTGTCCCTCAAAATTGTATTTAGCGGTGTGATGATTAGTTGTAAATACAAAGAATTATTGCTATATAAACTGATCTGTTAATTCTGGGACACTGGGAGCAGCTTATGGTCCATAGTGGCATAAACTTTGTTGCAGCTGAATCAAGTCCTCAGTAGAAACTGCCTATTAATCACTGCTAGTTTATGGCTCTGTTTTTTTTATCACCAATTCTGATCATTCTGGGGCATCTATACATGCCGTTATTTTTCTTGCCCCATCCTACTGACTGTTCTCAAAGCTTGGTTGATTAAGGTGGTCGGGGCTTGCATAACTGGAATTCACCAGAATCCAGATGTTCCCTCATTTTAGCTACACTTGCACCTTATTGCTGAGGTGAAGCATGAAAAGGGTTCCCACTTTATCTAATTCTAGGTCTGCACTTAATATTTTCCATGCCCTCAAAGTCTTTCCACCCATGGGATTTTTTTGGGGTTKTCTCCCTTTCCCATTCCCCTGCCCAAATCTGCTGAAAGTGTTCCCGAATCTTTCTCCCATTTTGGAATGGTGTTATCTGCTTCCTCCAGAGATGGTCTGATAACAATCTAGTTTCGAGATCYCCCCCTGCTTCAGACCCATGCTGCATGGTAGAGAATATCTCTTAATGCAACTCCATGAGTGGCATGTCTTGCTTTCCATAAAACAGCACCCATTGCATTACTTCTCAATAATTCCCCTTTTTTTTTTCTAGAAAGGAATTTTATTGACATATTAGAAATACTATAYGATTAGCCAGTTTGCCATTGATAAATGCTTTCCTTATGAAATTATGTGAAATCTTCATAGCTTTCTGTAATAGTAGGCATCTCTGGCTTTATAGAACTAGCTATTTCTTCATGGAGGCTCCCTTGCTTTAGTAAAGGTTCCTCTCAAAATATGGTTTGTACCCACTTTATTTTTAAACCTTTGCCCTCCTCTTTTGGCAGCTAGGTAAGAGAACKGATGTAGAAACGTAGATGTTTCTTTCCATGTCAAACAGCAATTGCCTTCTGCTAGTAGTTGGTCTGACATAAAGAGTKTGACAAGTCCCAGAAGAGAATTAGAGAGCAATGTATTTTCTGCTTTTCATCATTGACATAAGATGAGAAGAAAGACTAAATGATCAGAAAAAAAATACTTTTGAGGAGCTGTGATTTAATCCCTTATTGGTAAGAACCAACTTAGGTCCATTTTAAGACAATGTAGTGTCAGAATTGATGCCAGGGACAGGCATCACCTCCTGGATCCCCTGAAGGGACCCTTGTGCAGAGGAGCTACCSCTTGGTACTGCTGAGATTTGGTCTTTCACCCTGGGATCTGTTGTGTCTCCTTTCTTTGCTGCAACACAAGCACCCCTGTTCCAGCAGTGTTCCTGGTGGCCTTTGCTGTCCTTCGTGTGGTGTCCTGTCTGTAGTCCTGTCCTGTAGTCCTGGCATCTGCGCCCCTGGACACATGGGATATGGATTATCCTGCCCTACGCATCAAGGAAGTTTCTCCTGGTTGTTTTCTTGCTATTGTGTTTTTAATCCTAAAATTAGGAAGTTTCAGGATGATCGTTTAGGTAGCCACAGTTCACAAGTGCCATGAGAATGACCTGTATGGAGAGCAATTGTCAAAGCTATTCTGACTCTAAATTAGACCCTAATTTTGACCCTAAATCGGAGGGTATGGCATGTTTCGTGACAATTCAGCCTTTCCCATGTAAATCCTTGGAAGATGTCATATGACAGCAGGCTTTCAGCAACTACGTTTAGCCCTTGTCTGATTTTTTCCTGTCTGTAACAAGGTGCCTGTGGAAGTGTTCATGCCAGGCAAAGATCTATGATGGTGAGTGCCAGGGAATGGTGTCATTCCCAAAGCACTTAAATAAGGGCTTGCTGTAGCTGACACATACCTAATGCAGGGGGAGAAAACAAGCACGGTATTTTCTGGGAACTTTGTTGTTGTTGTTTAAACACTGTAGCTAATCTGTCTTGTTTCTCCATCTCTTCTTTCCCCTCTGGCCATATTTCAGGCTGTAATTTTGCATTCTTTCCTACTCGACCTGAAGTTTTCGCATTTCAAATAATTGTTTTGAATTTGTATGTTGTTTCTGCACAGAACTTAACAGTGATGGAAGACCTGTTGGTTAGAAGCTTTTTTTATTATTCTTCTTTCTTCCTCAGAATAAAAAAATAGAGGATGAAAGTCAAGTGGTGTTGGCACACCTATACGCCCAAAATAACTCCTGGCCTATAAAAACAGGCAATAAGAATTAATTCTTAAGGAGGAGCAGTAAAATTTATGCAAGTATTTTGACAGAGAAGATAACTTCTGTGTAGGGAAGAGCTGACTAAATGTCGCAGTGAGTTCTCAATTCCAGAAAGGTGTTTAAATTGGCTGGATTTTTTCTTTTGAAGAAATGCTTAGATTGAAACGGTGTTAATTCAAGTGAATCCTGTAACTTCTGATCTACAGGTTAGACAAGTCGTTGGCATTCATCCTTTCTGGACTGAAGGGGTTTGATGCTGTAATTCATGCCTCTCTCAGAACTTTGAGCAGACCAGAGCTTCAGGGAGAAGGTGTCTTCATGCAGGATTTTAATAAAACATGCACTAATGGTAATGAATAAGATCCCTCTGTCTGCAGAGGCACAGACCTCTGCCCCACCTATGCTTGAATTTGAAGCTTTGACGAAAATACAGCAAAACAGTGGATTTTGCTGTTCCTTGCTGCGTTATTGGAAAAAGTTTGCCAGCTCCATGTTCAGAAAGTTTTCTTCCTACGCTTATTATTTGTAATTCAGTTAAAGCTAAAGCTTTTCTCAGCTGTGATRAGCATGCATTGGGAAACGATAGTATTTTGGTTAGTATTAGTTGCTAATAATAATGAGTATTGTTTAGAATTCAGTTCCTAAAGGTCAGCTATTTGATTTTTAGCCAGTGATACGCAATATTGGACCAGCACACAAAGTGGAGGAGCTGTTGTAGCAATGCTCACCAGTGTGGGGCTGTTCTGCTGATGACTATTGTTCTTTTGGAGTCCTTGGAGATTATCTTCAAATGTTTTCCAGTTTTCTTTGAAAGGCTGGTGGGAAGGTCAACAGAAATTGGTGGAAGTCCAGTCCATGTATGAGGAAACGATAATAAGAACTGGGGGGAAAAGTTGATATTGGTGATTATTATGTACAATAATGAATAAGATCAAAAATAATTGTGTGTGAATAAAATGAACACTCATAAATTGTTTTTTTTTTCTGAGGTTGGTTATTTCATAAATGCACCACTGACTAAAATCTACGCTTAAATCAAGTAAATTACGTAAATTCCAGGAGGTGTGCAGAAGACTGACTTTTCRGAACTAATTGGCACTGCTAGTTTGCCATACATATTGCATTTTGAAAGGTTCTTAATCCTAAAAGCATTGCAAAGTGGCATATGACTTTTCCAAAAGAAGATTTGAATATTATTTGCTGTGTGAGAAGGCTCTTTTTTTTTCTCTCTGTTTATGAAGGTGTATATATAATATATATAAAAAAAAATCTTTTTATCCCTCTTCTTTGCCTTAGTGGCGTGTTTGGTACAGACATGGTCAACGAGCCTGCGTGCTAATGCAGTTCAAAGGGAGCCGTGAATGCGAGCAGTGCTGCCTGGCGGCTTTAGGCTGCTCCAGAGCAGGCACGCGGCGCTCCCTCCGCGCGCCGCCTCCTTCCCTCCCTCCCTCCTTCCTTCCCTCCCAGCGTTTCCTCCGAGGGCTGCAGTTCTGCTGTTTCTCAGCATACCTCACTGCTGGCCGCTGTGCCATCCGAGCTGTGCTTTCTAATGACAAAGTCCTTTTTGGCAGCGTGTGTAGCTTCTCTTCCCACCCCCTCTATCCCTCTTTTCTGTCTCTTTTTTCCTTGCTACTTCTCCTGAAAAAGAACTCATTTTAGGACAAATCCTTCAGTTCAGCTGATTAAGTTATTTAATTTASAGAAGGATAAGCAGGAGGAAGTTGCATTTTCCAACAGCTGTAAGGAGATACAAGGTATGGTGGCAAAGCAACGCTGATAGTTGCTGAGGCCTGTTTAGAGCAGGTGCGTGTGGGCCCTCACCCCTGCTTTGGGGGAAATATCTTTGTTTTGTGTAGCTCTTCTGACCCATTATGCCTGTGCCCTTATGGCTGCATGCATTTTGGCTTGTGTAACCATGGACTTTTTTTGCTGGAGATTTGGCTGCTCTGCATTTAGAATCAAAATAATGAAAAATCAAGATCCCCCACCCCGACAGATGCAAACTGGAGCATCTCTGCTGAGCCCGTGGAGTTACGCTGATGCCCGTGAGCAGAGAATATAGCCGTTCTTCCCATACTTGCTTTGTTTTTCTGTTGGTGCTGAACTATGTCTAGCTCCCAAGTTCTCTCATGTGTCTAGGATCTGGGTGGCTGTGATGTCTCCTTTCTAGAATATAAGGGACTTCTAATGCTAAGGTAACAGCTGTGAATTGTATTAAATTTGGCAAAAAAAAAAAATCAGTCTTTTCTGGAAGAAATGCCTGCTACATAAGTTCAATTTATTACCATTTTTAAACTCCCACTTTCTGATTTTTTGGAGTAATAGAATCATGATGAAAAAGAGAATTGGGCCCAACTTGAGCTTTCTATGCTTAACTTTGAGGAGAATGAAAGCTCAAGTGGGAATAATAGCAAGCTACTGATTTGCTAGTTCGTGCTTGGAGAGTAAAAAGCAGAGAAAATGTGGAGAAAGGTGGCTGCGTGCCATTGACCTCTGTGTACACAGCAAGCGTTTCCCAGCTTTGCTTCCCATTCATGATCCTTTTCCAGGCTGCTGTAGGTTAACCATCCATTGACAAGTAGGAGTGTAGAAGTTTAAGGAGTTAGGAGGCAGCAGTTGAGAAAGAGCATAAGATAAAGCAAGAGAGGAGGATTGCCAGCAGTGACCCGCTTTGTATCGCGGCTGGAACCACGCCGTGTCCRTCGGTTGTGTTGGGAAGCTGATGGAGCGGATAATCCTGGGCTAGGCCTCAGCAGAGCCAGCAGTCACTGTGTGACTGAACCAAACCGTGATTTTTAAAATATTTGAGATGCTGCAGGTGAGTATGGAGAGACCATGACTCTTTCTCCTCAGACACTATGGTTTTGATGCCTCTCCTRTGTAGTGGGAGGAACGGAGGCAGGCCAGCTCCAGAGGCATTGGTGAGACCAGCCAGGTGCATTTCCAGAGGGCTTTATGAAGACTCGTTTAGGTTTTTTTGCTTGGATAAATGATTTTTCAGCAACTTGTGCTGCTGTTTGGTGAAGATGAGTGCTTTGCCGAAGTTCATCTTGGGCGCAGCTTCCGTCATGCAGGAAGATAACATCGGGGAGCGACTCCATCTGCTCTGGCTCACGTTCAAGATACTGCGTCACGGATTGCATTAGCCTGGAGGCCGTAACCCGAGTTCGAGCAACGGGGCACATCTCGCTTGCTATGAGACATCATGAAAACTGGATGTGAAAGCGATAGAAAGAAAATGCTAGAATAAAGCACCATTTTCTTTGCTCTTTCCAACCGATATAGTGGTGCTGGTGTSCATGTGAACCAATTGGAGAGAAAAATACTGATCTGCTCCAAGCAGGTGGTGGTAGGGATACTGAACCCCCTAAAATGGAGGCTCCAGATTCTGATTTTAGCTATAAATCTAGGAGAATCCCCAACTGTACTCAAGTGCCTGCTGTTTTTTTAGCCAGATAACTAAAGTAGTTTGACCTTTTGGGGCACACTTCACCTTCAATTCAGTCACTCGTTTTCCCTTTCGGTAAGAGGAGACAATATTTACTCCAGCTCAAACTACTAATCTCCTATTTTACCAGCTGAAAATAGTGGCAGGYTTAAATACTAATGGGAGATCAAAATCACACCATGGGAAGTTATCACTGTTTCAGTTTACCTGATGGCCTAGTTCAGACTGAGGCTCACAATTAAAAAAGTAGTGTTTAAAGTAACAGCCTCCTTATTTTTAAAGCAGGAACTACACAAGAACCATGTCCCAGGCAAAACTCACACCACCAAAGGGGAAAAAGAAATGTGGTCTGACWTGTAGGATTTAAACCTGAGAGTTGTTTCAGGTATTGAAAGAAAGAATTAGGTGGAAAAAATCAAAATATACAAAGGCGGTATTGTTAAGAATTATTATTCCCTCTGTTGCCAAGTGTTTCTGTCATTCTGGGTCTCTGGATATCTGTTGTCTTATTGTGAATAGCTGCAAATGACCAAGAGACAGAGAAATAGAAATTTTCATTTAACTGCGTATGCATTAAAATGATTAGATTCTCAAAAAAAGKAAATATTTGGCTTCATTTCTTAAAGATTCTATTATGAGGACGGTTTTCTCAGTTTTAATAGCAATAGTGTCTGAAAAKGTTGCTACTTAAAAAGACAAGACACAGATTATTAACAGACAAAAGCGTGAAATATTTGTCCCCTAGAGAGAATGCTCAAAATAATCACCACAAAATGTGTGTTTTGTAACTCCTGCATGCTACCACTGTGCTCTTTGGAGCATCCACCACAGCCAAACTGTGCTCAAAACAAAGTAAAATAATCAACAAACTCACTGAATTTCCTCTACGAACGTTAGTAAACAACGTGGTACTCAGGTGTGCAAGGGCAATCTCCCCTACATGCACGTTTTTTTTCTCGGAGTTCACCCAGGCTTATGCGGCAGGTGTCAAATATTCAGAGATTATTTCTTAGAAAGACCTACCTGTGAAAGTAGAAGAAATTGTAGAAGAAATTGAAGACATAATTATATATATAAAGAGATTATATATACACATAATACACACACTAGTATGTATGTACACATTTATATTATATAAACATATATATTTATACACACACACATAAAGTAATATAATAAGAAAACACTAATGATCGTTAAGAGTCATGGGCCTGTGGTGACCCAGGAGATATTTCTAACTCTGCCTTCTAGGGTGCTGGCGTATTGTCCTTGCAGTGCCCTGCTCATATACATTCGGACTTGGAGGGTCCAAATGCTGCTGTGGGCAGCATGGAGCAGCCCAGGGTCTTGGGAGGAGACCTACCCTTTGCGGTGTCCCCAAGGCCACAAGGTGCCCTCTGCTCAGCTTTCTGCTCTGCCATTGACCTCACTGACTGCAATGTGGACCAGCGTGTGTGAACTGCTGACCTCCGCTAACATTTCATAATAATTTCATCACTGGCTTCAACGGCGCCAGAAATTCATCTGCAACATTACACATTTAAAAAAAAAAAAAAAGGCATTTTAAGGGATGTAAACCAAGGGCAAATCTAGTCTTTGAATATCTAATGAATTCAAAGGTCGTTTCCCTGTGGACCGTTGGATT